AATAGAAACTAGTTGTTCGTCTGTGTTTACTCACGGTTCGGTGCGGGACGCCGTCGTTGTTTGAATTTTAACAAGGAGAGGGCATTTATCGATACGCTCGCGTGAATAACACTGTATACGACATCCCTATGAACGCCGACAGATCAACATTTTAAAATTACAATATTCTAATGAATGTACCTGATAATCATACAGACACATTTCTTTATGACAGTTGTCTTAAATCTCACTCGACCTGTTGTGGTCTTCGATGATAAATTATCAAAGAGGAACATCTCATCTCCTTGTGACTTCAAGCGACGCTGTCGTCGAGCACCGATCGGATAATTTGAATTATTAGATGTCGCCGTTTTAAAAAATAGATTACTAAATTTTAAGATAATTTCAATGTCCAGATTAATCGAGATTTGCTGTTCTCTATATAACAATAGAAATAAGTAACGATATCCTACTAGCGTCCAATGTGATTTTTGACTATTTCTGTCTGGTATAGCGCAACATTCGCGCACCGTATACATATACACACTAACACATATTTACGCTAGATTAGTTTCCGCAATGTAGGATTATGACCAAATTAGCAAGTAATTAAAATATATCAAACACAAATTTAAAGTTACCTGTATGCTATATTTATAGCACTGAAAGCAAGGTGGGGAGGAAATTTTAAAAGTACAAATTTATCAAACGTTCCCCACTCTGCGACGCTTCAAAGCTCTTTCCTTATATATCTCTATTATATAAGGCGAAGACGTTGCATTGGACATCGTTTTTTAAATGTTTCAAAAGTTAAATAAATGTTGTATTTAGATAATTCGTAACATTTCTGATTCGGTAAATTTTTGCATCGTTCGGTTTACTAAAATATTTCTATAGTATAATGGATATCTTTTTAAAAAAAAAATGTAATCGGATAACCTCACGTTCTGTCAGTAATTTTGTAATCACTTACGTGTATTAGATTTGTCGTAGTCATAGCTGGTGTCGGTGACAGGTTCACGTTTTCGAATTAATTCGTAATTTTATAACAATTGATGTGCCTAAGTGTGTAATACTCTAATGTAAATGTATATATTAAATAGTTATCGATATTTATTTAATGTCTCAAGATCTGTTCGAGAGCACAACGGCGGATCGCGTCGTTTTAATTATGAATTTCGCCTTTTTATCACAATTGTCATGTATGGTGATTAAAAAATATTTTTCGAGACAATAACTTCTTAAATTGCCACGTTGCTGTATTATTTTTCCCTCTTTACTTAATTTTCTTATATCTACTTATAGGTATTATTACTCGTTGCTGTGGTTGTCTACATAAATTACTGGATACATTTTTGGGAATTAAACGTTTTTAACACATCTCAATAGCGTCGTACTGATTAGCTACGTAATTTTCTATATATAAAACGATAATAATAAAAAAAAACTTACGTTTTCTACAGTTTTCACACGAGACTAACGTAGTAGTATTGTACGAGAGCGTTAAACACTAGTAAGGTTAGATTCGACATATTTGTAGCACGCCAGGGACTTGCTTTTTTTTTAACTCACATTTAGCATTTTATCCTTTCTTTAATGTGAAATATATGTATTCAAATTATAGTCTAGTGGCGCCGCCGTGTGGCGGTCTTTCGGCGTACTAATTATTCGGTATGTTATATTGTATCTTCTCCATGTAAATCATCAATACTCGACGTGTACACGAATATGATGGGTAGTTGTGTAGAATTGATTGTGATATCAGTAAACATTTTCATACGAGCATCCAAACTCTTGTTTCATTTTACTCTCCACTCTAAACCCCCAGAGTTTAATAGACTATTTTGCACCATACTTCATTCTAGTTATTTTAATACTTTAATACTTCATTCTAATTATTATTTTTTTATGTGTCGCACGCAGTCTACCTTAAGTTAATTGATAACCGCCGCCCATATGGACAAAGCAACCCCGTAGGATTGCAGATGCGTTGTCACCTTAACAAAGTGGGCTCCGCAAACAAAGAAGTGTAAAAATTCTACTTCAAGCCAGTCTTCTGTGAGGACCTGCCCAATCGTGCAACAGCAAAAACGGCTCTACCACAGTTACACCTGGCAATAAGGCATTTTATTTTTTATTAAGTGTGCGAATGATAAACCAGATCCAACTAACACAAACAATATCGTAAACTGTAAAAATAAGTTAAAACATTAACATGTTCCCCTGATTTGGATAATTTTTTTTTGGTCTGCTAGCGACTCTTTTATGGGTTACTTTAATCCTGAAATGCAATGTTTCTATTTTCAGTTAAACGCTACAACACGCATCTTCACTGCACTCGTCAACGTCCAATGTTTGTTGTGGGGACTATCGAATAAAACAACACAGTTATCGTATGAAGTAAGCTTTTTTTAACTAATTATACTTTTTATACATTACACAATTATAATATGGACTCGATACACAATAAAACATTTATTAGAACAATGGTCGAATATATACAAAGTGCGCGGCGAGCATAATTTGCTTTACATGTCGTTTTGGCACACTATATAAAAAAAAAGCAACGCCGAACAGCGAAGACTCTACCGCAAATTCCTTCATACGATTAATCGCAACGTAGTTACGCAGAATGGACACCTCACGCGGAAGTGTACCGCGCTTTGGGAAATGTTCGAAGCCTTTTAAAAGTCGGTAAAGTGAAATTTTGCTGAATATATTATGTATTTCGTTAAGTGTTTTTTGTTAGAGACTATTTGCGAATACGGTAACGTTGATCCAAATGCATTTGGTGACCGTAGCAACGAAAATTTAATCGACCGTTGTGCGTAACTACGTCCAATTGATTAGCTAACATCTCGGCACTGCGTTACATTAATGTTTATCGAGTTACCTATCGTTGTGGTGGTGTAACTATGAAAAGACGAGACCATGATTGACAGACTTATTCCCAACCAATGATGTCCACCAACTTTCTCAGTCTCTGTTAAGACGCTAAAGTCCGCACTGTACGGCGTTTTCGCCTCTGGAGTCTGTTTTACATTTCATTTTTTTTGTTGCATCCCTGAAAATGGCGGCCGGCGCGGTTTTCTGCGATAAATACACTTGTGTGCTCCCTATGTACAGTGGCGCCACCAACCGGCCGCCAGAAACTACCCTCAGTCGCATTTGACACAAACCACTATGATAATAACATTATAAAATAATCTGATGTATTAAATCTGATGTTTCTCATGTGCACAAAGGGACACGGGTTTACAACCGGACCGCCTTTAAACGAACAACAGTAAACATGACAATTGTATACAGTTAAATTACGTTCTGAGATCATGTTTAATACATCACAGGTGTTGAAGAGAAATAAATTAAACGTTAAAATTTCGAAACTGCGCCGGCGTGCCTCCGGCGCTACTGCCGCTATAATAATTTCGAACCATCATCGGCTAATCGAAAATGTATCGGAATTTATTTAGCCTTAAAACTTTTCATTCGTAACTTTATTTCAATTCAATAAAAAAGGTTGCATATGTATTCAGAGTGCTTTCCTAGTCAAGCATTCAGATTACGATGCAACCACTATTAGGCTAGAACATATGTTCTAGACATTTCGAAAACAATATATCATATCAGTGTTGTTCCACAGATCGAGGGGGAATTGCGCTTTTGATGAATCTTCGTCTGAAACTGTCCAAGTTCGAGGCGATTATTCATACTTAAAAATCTCATTGTTTATTAGTAGTGTTATTTTAAACTGTAACGTTTTATATTTAGTTCAATTGCATAACAATTCCTTCGTCGATCCGTTGGTACAGCACGCGAACGCAATTCATAAACTTCACATAAAACGGAACCGTCAAAATCTCTCGCAAACGAATAGAATAAACCAACTTAACTTAATCTTTCCGATGATTACAAATAAATACGTCTCTATAACAGGCCTTGTATAAATATTGTCCTCTTGATGTTGTCAATTGGTCATAAAAAAAAAGTTCATTGAGATAATTTCATGGTGGCGGCACATGGTCAAGGATAGCTCCGCCGCCTGGAGCGAACTCTTCGAAGTTAGAAGTAGGTCCTCTTCGAGAACAGGTTAAGAGAAATCGAAATGAGCTGCAATGGAGTCGATGAGATGAGATGTCTTTTAGAATGTTCACCGCGGCCCCCCTAACTAAGCCGAATGAATTTGTACTCTCACAGGGCCGCGGGGTACCACTAAAGTGGAATGCGCTCCGTCGATCGCCGCTACACACGAATTTAAAGAAAACAAATCCACAATATAAATCGTACAAGTATATAATCCATTAAAATACAACAACAAAACAAATATACTAAACTAGATTTTTCCCGTTAGGCGACTCGAAACGTCCGCAAACACAAATACTCAACACACCACGCGTTTAAACGGCAACGCGTCCCGTAACAACGTTGGCAATCTGCGGCCCTGTTGCTGGAACGCAAAAGGGATTTTCACTTGAGTATTTGTATTTAACACGCCGTCGTATTTGTGAGCTTTGCGTCATTGGCGATGTTCGACGCGTTGGCTTCTCCGGGCGCTGTTCGAAATCTGATTCCGATAGGCGCCAACTCATTCTTGGCTCACGGAACGCGACGCACGAATGCTTTCACCTTAGAAAGAAACTCCAACCCGTTACGACTAATATACACTAATATAACTTAATTAACGTGTCAAAGAGATCATATAAACTTAAAACTAGGCGTCACATATTGCATCTGCGGGGTCTCACGCGAGTATGGATTGCACCTTATGTAGCACTCGGCGGGGCCCTCTGTGATGTATCGCGGATGACGGCGAACCAAAGAATATATTAATCAATTGTACAGGTATCCTAAAGTAGTGGTTGCGTATCTTACATGTTACTTAGCTTTAGTCGCGCGCGCGCGTTGAATAAATAGACGAGACATTAGGGTTTTGAATTTTGCACACTGCGTGTCCTGACACCGATTCGATTGTTCGATATCGCGACGGCGCTTCAGCTGGGGCGCTCGGCTGCGGCGCTCTAGCTGGGGCGCTTGAAGTGGGTCTGGGTTAGGCGCGCCACCTTCGGCGGGCGTATGTGGGCCCCGTGGCCGCACTCGTGCTTGTGGACGGAGGGCGACTTCTTCCCGCTGCCGGCGAGTCTCTTGCGCGGCTTCAGGAAGTCTGGAATGACGAGAGGAGCCTCTTAAATTTCGTCGGATTATAAAGCACAAAAGTTCAGTATTAGTTATACTACAAGATAAACCTGGGATAAACCGTGGTACCTTACGAACCTATATATATATATATATATATATATATATATATATATATATAATTTTTAATGTTAAATTTGAAGATTCATAAGAACGCGCAAGCGTCTATTTGAATAAAGATATTTGATTGATTGATTGATAAACAATGTAATAGAGCCGTGATAGCTTTTACTTTACTTTTTACTAAACAATGTAATGTCATATTGGATATTACTCCACAATGGATGAAATTTGAACAATTGAAAACAATACACACTGTCCTGTAGTGGGAACAACAATAAATATAGACTGACCAAATCAAAACTGACCGACCTTTTATCGATAACTAACTGAAACTTTCTCGGGCGAGGTTTCCACGAGAACGCTACGCTTTGCGCGGGGGCTCTGAGAAACTTGTCTTTACGTTTTGTTTGTACTTATGTACGCTATGATTTTGGAGAGCGACGCGATTCCGAATTCGGTGCCCTATCGTTAAAACGATCGTAAATGTCGGGAGGCGGGCCCGGTTTCGGATTCAGCCGGTACGTGGGTACGCGGGGCATGTGGACACTTGTATACTCTGTCGCAGGGCCAATGCGTCTGACAGTTTTACGAGCGCGCCATAAGAATGAGGCCGTAAAACGTACCCTCAGAATAGGGTCGCCACGATTATAAAATGTCGTGTCACCCCGCCTCCTATTTCGAATTGTTGATTTCGTTACAACGCGAATCTTAACCACATGTAAATAAATCAATCGGAAAGCTTTTAGTTCTCGAAATAACAAGCGACCTATAAATTTACCATACGCATAATTTTGCTTTTATATACGTGTCATAAATCATTCACTTAAATTAATAGCCTTTCTATTAGCGGATTATAAAAAAGTTGCTTTGATATTAATTTCAGTCAGCAGTCACGACAACCTATCTTTGTCCGAGGACAGTAAATACCGAGGCACCCTACACGTATCGCTGTTAATGGGCCGAAATCCTTTCGATACTCGTGGTACCCCGAGGCAGCGTTCGAATTTTCGAAAAAGGAACACGACCTTAATAACTATAAAAGTTTAACGAGGGTTTTACTACCGTTTAATCTGCGGTGTAACGGCCGAGGGCTGAGACTTGCTGTTCTGATATGAAAACGAGAGAGTCGCTTCGGCGTAACTTTGTTGGGACGGTTAACTAACGCAAGTGCGAAGTTCATGGGCGCTAGCAATAGAGACGATTAGATAAAACTACGCTGGTTATTTTTAAACTTGTTGCCACATCGCTCGGGCCGAGTTAACAGCGCGCGTATACAACTTGCTTTTTTCTCTCGCTGTATCACGTAATCATTGAAGATTGCGTATGCTACCAATTCAACTTCACCCACTTCCAGACGTTAGAATAATCTAGATGAATGAGGAAAATACAGTTTTCTTTACTATAATCTAATTTTGCAAGGGTCATCGGATGTAAGGATTTTACTGTGGTAGGGCCACGCAGCAGCCTCGGTTGTTGCACGAATGGGCAGGCCCAACCGGGTAAGTGCCACGACCTCACAGAAGACCAGCGTAAAGTGGAAGTATGAAAAATACTTTCGCGTTTCGTCTGGTGAGTGAGGTAGCCGCAGCCCAATTTTCAAAAGGTTGTCAACGCATCTGTAACCCTCGGGTGCGGCAGATGTCCATGGGCGGCGGTATTCACTTAACATCAGGTGAACCGTCTGCTCGTTTGACAACTTTTCGCATAAAAAAATATAAAAAATAAGGAAATAGCGTAACGATCAACTCTCTAGACTAAAACAAATACATCATCATAAACGAATTCAATTTAACTTTGAGTTTGAACGAGATTTGTTTTTCAGTTAACTTAATTTATTTTTGTAACTACTAAATATTTTATTTTTTAAAGCAGTTTTACATAAAGTTTACACCCAAATATTATTTGAAGCGTACGACATTCTGTTAAAGCTTATTTTGAATAATACTACTCGTTACGGGAAGAGAAATGTCGGCCTTACTACTAGCCAAATAAACCAATTATGGACGCCAATATTTGAATAGATAACGAGGGAGCCGAAGACCCGACTGCGTAGTGACTCGCGACGGTACGGCAACACGCGATGCTCAAGGCCACCGCATTTCATCTACTGGACCACTGCTACATTTAAAAAACGCTATTCGACGCGCGTAGTTATGTAGCGAATGTGGAACGTTTATTTTCTTAATTTTCCAGCCAGCACTGAGCTAATAAAAAAAAGTTATAAAAATCGCCGTTTAAAAATATTGGTACGTTTACTTTTAAACGGCAATGAAATGTCAATTCGAAACGAAACGAACGAACGAATGAAAAACCTACGTATCATATTGATCGATTGTTTTATAGAAAAATGTCAATTGTCGTGGTGAGTTGATATTTAGATAGCAAAACAATTTATGCGAATTTTGAAACAATGGTTTAACGTACCACATGATCATTTTGAAAAATGTTACTGTTACTTACAAGTAAATTAAATTAGATGGGTACTTATTTCTTGGATTAGAAGGAAAAGACGCATAAAACTTTATTCGAAATGGTCGGTGAAGCGTCTCGCGGATAATAACAATCTGTATTGGGCACGGCAAAAACTGCCCGGAGTTGGCTGTGCAGTCGAGAACTATGTCAGTGACGTCATAAAACTCAAGGTCGACTGGTGGACCACGCCAGGCTCAAGGCAAATGTTCCCGCCAAATGCGAAAAGCACGTGGACAATCTACTTACGAAATTTGTATTTTATGACATACTTAATATTCGTGCTAAATACGATACGGTACGAACACTAAAAGAATAAGTTAACAAAATAATTAAAATTAATAAAATAAATAAAATTAAATATTATTTAATCACAACGGAAATAGGTAATTAATGTAAATATTTATAAAAACAAAACGTAAACGAAAGTAATGACAATCTTAAATATACATATGTAATCGCGTTTAATCTATTAAAGTTAACACGGAGGTGATAAAACACAAATGTGGTTGCGTAACTAAAGCGTGGTCGAAATTCTAACCTAGAAATGGAGCTATCGACGTAACAACTAACAAGTATTCAAGCATCTATTTAGCGTTATCGTACATAGTGGAGTGATCATGACAAACAGAGAAAATACTTTCACGTGGTTACGCAATAGTTTCCCGCCAAACGTTCAATGGAGCGTTTCGCGCCATTTCTCGAGCGCTAACACGCGACCGATTTCGAAGCGAGCCACCGACACGAGAATCATTCACCGTCGAGGTGTACTAAATCCAGACGGGTTATACGCTTAAATCGGGCTCGCGTAAACATGCGGGTGTGCGTAAACAAAATGGCCTTGGGAGATCCGCGCGTGCGCCTAGCTCGACGATTCTACACGAGCACGAACTCACACACGTCCACACACTACAGCCGTTGCGGCGGCCATTATCAATCTTTTATCGCATTTAGTCTAATTCTAGTGTAAACACGACACGCGAAACATTGGTGCGGGGTGAAACGTATTTACGTACTTGTAATTTACGCGCGAAAGGCGAATATAATAAATGAAATGGGCGAATTTTTATTACCGATCGATTATGACTATCTAGTACAGTGATTCTCAACCACTGTGCCGCGGCACTTTTGTGTGCCGCCAAATTTCAAAAGTGTGCCGCCAAATTTTGCAAATATATAATAATGTTAATATTATTAAATTATATCATTTAAAAAGAAAAATATTTTTTGGCATTAGCCAACATTAAAACTAAAAAAAAGATCAAGATTGTTAAATGTAGAAGACGATATGAGAGTAGCATTCTCATTTTTACGACCAAATATAAATGAAATTATCAAAAAACATCAAGCTCAAATTTCGCATTAAAAATATTTTTATTATTAGCTTATAATTAATCCCTTAATAAATTTTTAGTTATTATTGTAATATATATTAGTTTATTTCGTATATTTAAAATTTTTGTCATAAACTATTTATGCAGTGTGTTGTAGTAAGTAAATAATTTTTATCTTTTTCTTTGTGTGCCGCCAAATTTTGAAATCGTTTAATATGTGCCGCAACGAAAAAAAGGTTGAGAATCACTGATCTAGTATATCTATCTATCAAGTCGTCGCGAAGATCTGCTAAATGAAAACAAAGTTTAACAAACAATGCATTACGACGGCAGCACGGATTCGTCATCTCGATTATATTGAACGGCCGGAGAGCCGCGGTTATTTCGGTCGACCTAAATATCTGCGCGGGAGCGCGACGCCCTCTTTTGTACAATTCACTTGTTTACGGCGGCAAGCGAACGTTACGGTAGAGAGGTGTTGCCATCTTAGTGGTTAGCTATTCGTTTGTTTTAGGGTAAGTCGTAGTGGGAATATCAGTATCACTAAGATAGAGTATGAAATTCAAATTGCTTGTTTTCTTCCGGGATATTATTGTTTTATTTGTATTTGTTTCTACTACAGAGTGATCGTAACAGCCGCTTGTTTGCTACTAAAGCTGCCGCTGTTTTGGCGTTCTCTCAGTTTCTATTGTGGCGCTCATAATATATTCATGAGGCGTCGAAGGCGTTGTGACTTTCAGTTGGCAACAACACAAAACTTGCGCTCGTATTGGAAATGCAACGCACGCCCGAAGGCCGCTCTCTTGACGGGATGCGCCCGTCTCGTCCTTCCATTACACGCCTAGAATCCTCGAGTGGGAAAAAAGGACGAACAGTTAATGAACAAGAATCACGGTTCGTACTCGTACGGCGTCGAATTAACTTTTTTTTCCCCGAGTCACGCTTTCCGGAGAGCGTGAACGTTGAAGTGATTTCTCGGGGGGGTTGTTTCGTGATTGCCCTTTGAGGGGCCGCGTTCGCGTTGCGAGGTAGGGAAGTGTAGAAAAAAGTGAAATTTTTTCGAAACGTTGCACAGGACGGGCTGGAATCATTACGTTTTTTT